CATGGCACTGCTGACGTGTCACTGTAGCTGATGTGTCACTGTCTGACGTGGCACTGCTGACGTGTCACTGTAGCTGACGTGTCACTGTGTCTGACATGGCACTGCCGACGTGTCACTGTCTGACATGGCACTGCTGATGTGTCACTGTAGCTGACGTGTCACTGCGTCTGACGTGGCACTGCTGACATGTCACTGTAGCTGACGTGTCACTGTCTGACGTGGCACTGTACCAACCTGGAAATGCATGCAAAGGGTGGGTGGGAGGGAAAACGTAGGTAGGCAAACAACCGAACTATACTTTCCTCCGGCCCTAATCAACAGATAAAATAAAATAAAAAATAAAAGAGGACAACTTCCTTTTTTTTTTTCTTTTTTTTTTTTGTATATCTGTCGATCTATTATGAGTAGGACATGTCAGAAGAGTACTATGAACGAGATCTAGGCTAGGTTCCGCAAAGTTTCGGCTTTTACAAACTGCGATCTTGAATTTTTTTTTTGCGAAATGGAGTAAAGATGCGATTTTCAGAAAAGAACGAGATCCAGTTTCTGAGAATATGCAACCTCCGAATATGCCTAACGCAATATTGGTAGGCTTCGCAAGATTTCGGTTTTCAAAAAAAAATTGCGAGATAGAATGGAAATTCGATTTTCAGAAAAGAATAATTCCAGTTTCCGAGAATATGACCACTTCTATCGTTATCCACTATGCCTAGAGAACGAAATACTAACTAGAGAAATTTCAGCTATGTATGCGAAATATTAGAGAAACGAAATGCTACTATCGGGAATTTTCAGACAAAACGAAATGCGATTTATCAGAAATTTTCAGATATTTGTTACGTAAAAACGAACTACGAATATCAGAAATTTTCAGGTAAAACGAAATGCGAATATCAGAAATTTTCAGATAGTTGTTGCGATAATTTTTTTTTTTCCAGAGATTTGACTAAGTCCTACTTGCGTTACTAATGAGTGATCACTAGATCAGCAAGCTGGCTACTTGATTGAGCGGGTCCTCTGAATGAGAGGTCCGCTCCGATACCAAACTGTTGCATACTGTAACGTGCAGACCAGAACAAGAACCGACCTCTCAATACAAAGTACAAGATAACACAGCGGAAGACTTAGATAC